GTCCTCCAAAACTAGATTGAAGAACAAAAGGACAGCAACTTGTCTGTTCCCCTTCCCCCAATTCCCCAGCGCTGTTCCCATCCTCCAATTCCCCAATTAAAAAACAAAAAACAAAAACCTTACTACTCCCTAAGCGTGTTCCCACACGGTAGGGAGTTTTCCAAGTGGGAACAAAGAAGCACATATTTCAGAGCATCTCCCACATGTGGGTTACAAGCCTGGGACTTCTTTGTTTGTAATTTTGTTTATTATTGAATCAACTTGAAAACATAGCCCATGATCATGTGAAGGAGAAATTCTCACACAGTGAAGCAGCTTCTTGGCCTCAGAGCCAGCGCCGGGCTCCCGAGCGTGTGTCAAACAGGTAATATCTGCCTGTACCTGAGCTCAGGTGGTCAGGAAAGAGAGACAGCATTGCTGGCCTCAGCAGAACTGCCTCCCTCCCCTAAGGGTAGGAGAAGATGTCTCAGGACCCTTGGGGTGTACCACCCCCACCCCGGCTTGATCCAACCTGTCCCCTTTCTCAGCAAATCCTTTGAGGTCTGGCTCAAGTGCACAAGAAGCATCCTTGATCCCCCAAAACTGGACACTAGCTCCCCTAAGCCCAGTGCCACACTATTCTGCCATAATTCACTGGTGCAAATGGAGTATCTGGGGGCCTCTCCCCTTGCCACCTTCTCCCCTTTCACTGTGGGCAGGAACCAGACCAGCTCTGAGTCATCTCCTGGTCCTACAGGCGTTTGATAAACATTGGCTGAAAAGCGAGTAGGGGTGAGAGCTGACTCCTTTTAGGGAAAGAGTAGGTGGTGGATGCCTGGTGGTAGGAGGAGACACTAAAATGGCGTAGGGAGAGACTGTGGGCCCAGGGGGAGAATGGGTTGAGAGGAAGGGGACTCACGGGAGTCCTGTGCTCTGCCATCAAAATGCTGCTGAGGGGAAGAATGAGAGGGTGCAATGAGTTGAACCCCATCCACGGCGAGCAGGTGGAGGCCTACTCCCAAAGGGATCAGGAACCCACTTGCCTCCTCCATCCTGATGGTGCTGGCATGGGCACTCCCACAGGGGTACCCACCCATGGGGAAGGGGGCAGACTTAGCAGGGGAGTGCTCAGTGCCCCCACTACATAGGATGGTGGATTGACATACCAGGTTCATGACGCTGCTGGGTGCCTGGGGTGTCTCTGTCCTCGGTGCCTCCATGAATCCCTCAATGGACCCCTCAGTTCCTTGGATACTGGGGCAAAGTGGGAGCAGGAGTACAGGATAAGGCTCTGGGACCCAGCCTGAATTCAAGAGATGTACTCCCAGGCATAGAGGTATGCAAAGAAGGCTGACCTGTTTAGCAGCAGAGCCTGGGCTGGTTTGCTTGGTGCTGGTAGCACCTGGGCCAACCTAAAATGCCAGGAAAAGGGACCAAGCATGAGGGCAGCAGACCTGCTGGCTCCAGAAACCAGCACCATTTCATCTACACTTTTATATTGGGATAGCCAATGTCTATGTGCAATGTCCGTATTGTTGCCCCCACCTTCTCCTGGGTTCAGTCCTGTGCCCACAAGAAATTCAGAGTCTTAGGAGCAGATCAGGTTTCAAATGGAGATCAGGGGTCAAATAGGATAAATGCCCAATGCATGAAACACTCAGAGTCTCAAGTCCTGGGCTTCATCCACACCCATCCAAGACTGGGCTCTGCCAGCGATGGAGACAGCTTCCTTCCAGTGTCTCTCTGCCTCTAACCTCACAAGCTCTGGCAGGAGGGCAGCCCTCCTTAATATCCATTTGTCTGCTCATCACCATGGGCATTTTTGTCAAATCTTGGCTGAAACCACCTCTCTCACATGGGGTCCATTAGTGGGCTGGGGAGGCAGGGGATACAGGGATAGGAATCCTACCCCCGGAGGAGCCTGCCGAGGAGCCAGCCCAGAGCCACGAGGAGAAGGGCACTGGTCACTGTCAGCACCACCACAAACCAGGGCTCCGGCTGCCAGGAAGTCTCCATGCCTGTCACAAGCAGGGGTGTCATCACTGAAGGCACCTGAAATGGGAGCCACAGCCTCACCACTGCCCTGCCAAACCCCCTGATCGTCTAGCCTTCAATCCCCTCCAAGGACTGGGCCACCCCACAGCCCAGATTTGCTCTCCTGTACTGCTCTTTACACTGAATGTTTGCCTCTGCAATGCCTTTCCCCATCGTCTGCCTGAAAAATTGGGTCTCCTCACCCTCAAAGATCATCTCTCCCCACCCCTCAAGGGCCCGAGGACCCCCCTCACTGTGGTTCTGTGGGTTCTGGTGGCCACCGTGCTGGCCCTCCAGGGAACTAGATGCACAACAACGGTAGCTGTGGTGCTGAGGTTGGGGATGGAGGGACCTGCATCAGCCACACGGATCAATAGCTCATAAGAATGAGGCTGCTCTGGCCAGGGGGGGCCCAACGTGAGGTCATTGTGCACCAGGACGGCTCCTTGCAGGCTGAATCGGCTCTGGCTATTCCCTGAAAGCAGAGTGGCAGAAGAAGAGGGCCACTGTTGGCCTTGCCTGCGCCTCTCTTAGCCTGCTGGCCCCCGTGGTCCTCACCTCCTATGATGCTGTAGGAGAAGGCCAGGCGCTGTGGCTCCTGAGGGACCCGACATGACACCTTGGTCACTTCCATGCTACGGCCCAGGGAAGTGTAGACAGTGAGTTCTTGAAATGGGGGCTCACACTCGGGGACATGGTCATTCACATCCTGGAGAAAGGTAGCCAGGTCACCCTCTCCCCAAATTCCCAGGCCAACCCCTCAGCTTCCTCCCACCACAGCTAGAGCCTAAGTGTCAGGCAACAGGCTCCAAAGCTTTCCATTTGAGGCCTCGCCCCCCTCCAGCCAACCAATGGGGGAAACAGACACAGAGTGGAAAATCAGAATGCCAGAGGGAGATGAGAGCTGTTTCAAAGGCCTCAGGGCTCAATTACCTCAACCTCAATGGTAATGGTACAGGAGCCTGAGCAGCAGGTGGGGTCCTGGTCTTGGCTATGATCAGTCACTAGGACAGTGAGCCTGTACACCCTCTGCTGTTCATAGTCCAAAGGCCCCAGGAGGTGGATCTCCCCTAGAAGGGGTGGCCACAGCCTCAGCCTGCGGAGTCCACTCTGGCTCCACGCCCCCATCCCAGCCCTAGGGTGGAAGTACCGCTGACACGGTCCACAGCAAAGGTGCCAGACCCTCCAGAGACGTAGTACTCAATGCTGTCGTGCGGGTAATCCATGTCCATGCCCACCACAGAGCCCAGCACGGTGCGGAGCCCTGCATCCTCCCGAACTCGGAATGTGCGTGGGACACAGGCTGGGGAGAACTCGTTGACAGGTGTCACCATCACCAGTACTGGCACCTCAGCTGGAGGCAATTACGTAGTCAAGGAACTGGCCCTGGGTGCCCAGCCCTGCCCTGGAGGTCTGAGGAGGGAGACATGTCCCTGCCCTGGGGGAGAGGGTCTGGAGAGAGGTAGGGCAATATCTCTCCCCTGCTGGGGGTCGGGGGGTGGTCTAGGAGAGGAGAGATAGGCCCCACCCTAGGGGTCTGAAATGGAGACAACCTTGCCCTACCAATTTCTGAAGGAGAAGAGATGACCCTGTCCTGAGGATGGGGAGAGGGGTACAGAAGAGCCCTGTCCTGAATGGTCACTCACTGGTCATCAGGGGCTGACCACCATCGAGCACCAGGATGGAGGCTGTGTGCTGAAAGCAGGCCCCAGGAGTGTCACAGTCCAGTGTGTCATTCACCTAGCCACAGGGTCCAGAGAGTAAGGCCCAGCCACGGCCTGGGAGAGCCTTGAGCCACACTGGGCTGCCTCAGGCCAGGGCATCCACAGGTAGCTTAACTGGACCCCATAATGCTAAGCATGTAGGCTCCACCACCATCTCCTTCACCCCCATGGTCTCAGCTCCCACAGACTCTTGCCCGGTCCTGCCCTCACCCCGCCCCCCCCAGCACTCTGCATGTGGGCCTGGGAGGCAGGCGGGACGTGGGGAGGTCACCTCCAGGACCCTGTCGTTAAAGCAGAGGCTGGTTGAGCCAGGAGGACTGTGGAATCGCAGCCGGTAGTCGAGAGTAGAGCCAGGAGAGTCCGGGTCAGCACAGGTAAAGGTGCTCAGCACGGTACCTACTGGCGTGGTCTCGGGGATTTGAATGCTGGGAGCAGAGCGCAGGCGGGAGGGCGGGAGTCGTGGCCAGGCCGCGAGCCATCAGTCACCCCAAAGGCCAAGGTAAGGCTCGGGTGTACTCACATCAGTAGCGCTGGGAGGCAGCGCGGGGGCCAACGGTTGACCGGCCGCACGGTCACAGTGAGATCGAGCTCAACGCTAGCCCACGGCCGGAGCCGCTCGAAGGCCTTTACTAGCAGCGTAGTGACCGCCGTGTCAGCGGCGGGCCCCAGCTCCAGGGGCGCGGTGGTCCGGATAACGCCGTCCGCTGGGAGCGGTGAGAGGGTGGGGGACGCAGAGTTCGGCTCCGCCCCCAGCTCAGTAGCGTTCCCACCCGCCCACCCGAACCCCTGTCTGGGGAGGGCGCTGAGCCTGGCTGGCCCCCTGCGTCACCTCCTCCAAAACTGCTCTGTAACTACCCCCCCCCGTCTGCCCCCGGCCAACAAACGCGACCTCGGCCCATTTTGTGCCTCTGCTCCAGCCTCGTTTCTCAGGAGGGCGAGAAGGTAGTGCAGGTCACCTCTGAACCAGTCTCAGAGGCATTCTCGTACCCGCTCTACACTCCTCACCGCGTCCGATGGAGAAGAGCGGGCAGGGCGCCGGAGAGACGATTTCGTAGCGCACGTCGAAGCCCCGAGCCTGGACCTGAACCACCTTACTCCCAGGGGCCACGTCCTCGGGGATGGTGATATTCTGCTCCTGCTCCCTGAACCAAAAGGGGGCCACCGGCTCCTGCCTGATCCCGTGCCCCCACACACCCCCGACCCGGCGCGGTCCGCAGTCTTCTCCCCTAGGACTTCGCTCAGATTTCGGCTAGCTGGGACACTCCAGCAGCCCCACCTTAACCTACTTCTCCTTCCCTGGGGCCAGGCTCTGCCTCTCTCACTGTCTTAGGAAGGACACTGTCCCAGGAAGGACAGGAGCCTTACAGGAAGGACACGTGGCTGGAGGGAGCAGGCAAAACTTTCACCATCAGTATTCCACTGCAGCTTTGGTTTCGCCCAAACTTCACCAGGATCTGAAGGCGGAAGGCCTGTGGTGGCACAAAACAGGAAGGTAACCACGGTGTGCATCTGTCTACCTGTATGTCTATGCCCAGTCTTCCCTTCAAATAGCAGCCCCCTCAGGACCTCCACTAGGAGCCCCAACACTCACTCACTCCTCCCCAAGACCTGTCACTCTGCTGACAGGTATTCCTTTGAGTCCCATTCTTTTGGGCCACAAATCCTTCTATTAGGATGCAAACAGCCCCCAAAAGAGTGACAACTGAGTCATTCACAATATGACTTATCATCTTAGAGTTGCTAAGAGCCAGTTGCTAAGACATGGAAGTTTTAAAGAAGGAGCTTCCCTCATTCAGACTGCACTAGCCACTTTACCCAGAACTTTCTCTTCCTGTGTGACTGCTCTGAACTCTCTCCTTTCTATTTGAGGCACCGTGAGCTCCCCAAACAAGGGGTCTCTCTTCTTTCTGGAACTCCAGAGTCCACCACAGAACCAGACCAAGGGGGGAGGACAGTCAGCAGGGGGGGCAGCAGGTGCAGGTGTGAGCTGTGTCTGGGAGAGGCAGCATAATGAAGGAGGCCAAGAACAAGCAAACCTCCAGGAGGTGGCGGTTCTGCCCAGTCCACGGATATCCCAAGGTCCCAAGTTATGCTCACCTTTTGAGCCTGGCCTTTGAGGCCCTGGGGTGGTGCCTGCAGCCAACCCTGCTGATTTATGGAGAAAGGTCCAGGGAAGTAGGGCGGATCCTGGGCACTGGTGATACTCATCTGACAGAACAGAGATGCTGGAGGCCCCATCCCCAGCCCCCAGTCCCCCAAGCATTCTGTCAAAATCCCCAACAGTCCTGCAGGTACCTTCCCACACCCAACAATCCCATACCCCACCACTCACAGCCTAGCCTGGGGCCTTGGGCCCCGATCCTCAATCTTTTCTGTTTTTAAACCATTTATTTTGGAATATATTTCATTTTTAGATTACAAAAGTGATACAGAATTTTCATGGAGAATTCAATACACACAGAAAAACTTGAAAGAAGAACTCAGCCCCTAAGGGGTTCCTGTAAGAACAGCTATGGTCATTGGGGGACAGGAGCCCTCAAAGTCTGTCTCCAAGAACATGTATCATGCAGAGGCTCAGCTGTACACCAAACATCCCTCTGCAGGCTGTGCTTGGCCAGGAAGGGGCTGGGCTTGGTTTCCCTATGAATCCCCATTCTGCCCCTCACTGTCCATGTGCTGGGCTCACCTGGGCTCCCTGGAGTTCTAGGCCTGGAAGCAGCAGGGTGTACAGCCGGGCCCCAGGTGTGACTGTTTCTGGCACCTGAATGATTTCCCCAGCTGGCCAGAGAGGAGGATGTCAGGGAGGCTCTGTTTAGGCTATGCCTGCCCACCCACTGCCTGCTGCCGCTGACCTCACCTGGGCTGGCAAATCGGCCAGCACACTGAATACGGCCAGGATCCCACTGCACATCCACAAAGAGTGGTCCCTCCATCACATAGTTGCCACATGTGAATTTCAGCTGCAGCTCATAGTGGTTCACTGCCAGGGCATCCAGCCGTGCCGAGCTGCTCAAGGTCACCTGTAGCAGGTGGGCAGTGATATGGGGCCTAGGCCCTCCCTTGCCCATACCACCTCTGGCTTTGTGAGTGTAGGATCTGCCCTTGTTTCCCCATAGTTCCCAGCTGTGCCCATGACCCTACCTTGCCCACATAGATCCCCTGACTCCTGGTCAAGCTGGGTGGGTTGAAGAAAGTGGTGGGTGGCTGCACATAGAGCAACTTCAGGGTAGGCGTGTGAGAAGAGCAGTTCAAGGAGAAAAACCGGAGAACGGTGCCCGGTCCCTGGCTCTCAGAGATATTTATGAACCAGGGCAGGCAGTGGAGGTCTATGAGGAAGAGACAACCAGGCTGGAGGCCCCCCCCATGCGCATGGAACCACACACAAAAGCACAGTCCTGCCTTCTGCTACAGAGGATGGCCACATCTTGGGGCCAAAGAGCCAAAAGTCCTTCCTTGTCCCCCACATCCAACAATGGGTTAGCTCATTTCACAGACTGGGAGTGAGGATTTGGTCAAGGAAGCAGCCAAGATAAGAATGGGGTCAGGGGTTCAGATCTTTGCCCTTTCCTGGCTCCCCACCCCCCAGCCCCAGCCCTCCGTGATATGGAGCAGAGAGGTAAAAATTGGGGTTCCCCACCCACCAGCTCCTCACCAGAGACAACCAGGACAAGAAGAAGTACCAGGGGCCTGAGCAGCACCATAGTGTCCTAAAGATACAGACAGTAGAGGAGACTCTGGAAGGCGATATGTGTTTGTCAGGCCCACCCCGTTGCCAGGCTGGTTGTTCAAACACAATGGGTAGGCAGGACTCCTGGGCCTCCCAGATTGCAGTCCCACCCATCCCTGGTGACTGGGCTCTAGACTCCCAGACAGGCATCCAGAGGCCTAGAAAACTGCATTTTTTCACTGCTCCCAATGAATTTCCCCATTCATTACTACAACCTGAAGGAGATGTGAGAGAAGGATCAGCTTCAGGTGGGGAAACGGAGGCTCTGGGAAGTGTTGGTCATGCAGTCCTTGGAGACAGAGCAAGACAATACCCAGGAAAATTGGGCCCAGGACTCCAGCTGCATACCCAGCTCCCAGTCCGCCTCCCTCCCTCCCTCACTTCCCCCCCACCGTTAGAACACTATCTGCCTACAAAATCTGAGCCCAACCATCAATAAAATCTCTCAAAAGTTGTTTACCTTCATCAAGCAAAAGGAATCCTTGGTGACAGAAACCAAATAGTAGTTATCTTAGGTGGTATCAATTGTAGGGGGCACAAGTGGCCTCCTGGCAAGGCTAGGGATATCCTATGTTTTGATTTTGGTGACAGTTGCACAAGTGTCTACAGATGTTAACCTTTATTGAGCTGTACCTTTGAGAGTCATCCATTCATTGTATGTATGTGTCAATTTTTAAAAAGTTGTCTACATTTGCTCTCTCCAGTTCTTTACCTCTCACTCTCTCTACTACTCACTACAGTCAAGATTGTTCCTCTTTCCGTGAAACTGCCCTTTTCAGGGTCCTCAGAGATCTGCAGGCTGCAGAAGTCAGTTCATTCTTCACGCTCACCTCCTTGGCAGCGTTTGACACTTGCTCCCTGTGGCACCTTAAGTGCCCACACTCTCTATTTCCTCCCACCTCTCTGGCTTCTCCTGTTTAGCTCCTTTGCTGGTTCTGCTTCATCTTCCTTGCCTCCACCCAGCGGGGTGTTCCAGGGCTCAATCCGGACTTCTGCCCTCCCCTGTCTAAACTCTCGCATCACATCAGAGCACATGGCCTTAAGTACCATGCACTCGTTCTGCCTCCCAGATCTAAAGCTTCAGTGTGATCTCTCTCCTAAACTCCAGAGACACACATCCAGTGGCTGACCTTGCATCTCCCCTGGAGGTCTGACAGGCATCTCAGGGGTCACATGTCCACCAATGACCATTTGATTTCCCTCCCCAAACCCATTCTTCTCCAGTCTATCCTGATTCAGTTCATGACAATCTCATCCAACTAGATGTTCAGGCCAGACATTTAGGAGTCATGTTTGATGCTCTCTTTCCCTATTCATATTCATGCATCAGGAAGGCTTGATTGTATCTCCAAAGTGACCCCCTTCTGTGCACCAACCCCACCGAGGCCCAGGCCCTCCCCTCCAGTGCTGAATGAGGACAGGAGTCTCCACCTTGATTACAGAGTGGTTCTCCCAGAGTAGCTGGGATTATCTAAACAGCTGCCAGCCCAGGTTATTCCCTGCTCAACAGCCCTCAGTGCTTCCCATCACACCAAGAACAAAACCCCATATTCCTTTCTCAGGCTGCTAGGCTTCTGGTTTTGCTGACTTCTTCACTTCTGCAACGACCACCATCATAGACCCCTTGGACCTCTTTATGTTAAGCCCTGTGCTGCTCCTGGACTCTCAGGGTCTTTAACTGGCTGATCCCTCTGCCTAGAATGCCCCTTCTTGATCTCCCCATGGTGGCTCATCCAGATCCCATACAGGATGCCACCTCCTCTAAGAGCCCTATCTCCCAAGCTAGCCGGTTGCCCTCATTCTCCAGTATGTTTCGGTCTACTGACTCGTCTGTCTCCAGTGAGACAGTATCCTTGAACCTAGCCTGCAATCATGGAGCGCCTCAGGAAACAGGCTCTGACCATTCCCGCCAGAAAGCGCCGCCCCTACCCCCTGCACGGACTCTGTCTGCACTTGATGCCAAGCGGAGAGGATGCAGCTATTGCCGCAGGAATTGCGGCTAGCCGCGCGCTCCCCACTAGAGGGCGGCCGGGCCCAGCTTGGCCCAGACGCGGGGCGAAGTGGATGCAGGCTGGGCCTTGGCTGAGGCCCCACCCCCGTGCTGCCGCGTTGTCCCGCGCTCCCGGAGTCCGCAGAGGGGCCGAACCCTCCCAGCACTTCCAGGGATTGTCCAGGCACGCTCCAAGAGCGGATCCAGTGGGTCCAGCCCAGAGTGGGCCACAGCACTACCTGCCCGACGACTGGAGATGCTCTGCCGGCACATGGGCGCAGCCGGGATACCCGCGCGCCCACGGGGCCGCTGCGGGAGGGACCGCAGTTCTATCTTGGGAAAAATGCGAAAGCTGAAGCTACCGCGAGGAAGCGACTTGCGAGGAAGCGACTTGTTCTGGGTCACGCAGTGAACCCGGAGTCAGCTCAACCGCCCGGGGCGTCCGGGAGTCCCGGGGGGGAGGGGGGGCTGCCGCCAGGCTTTCCATAGCTGGAGCTTAGCGGGTAGTGGGCGTGGGGATGGCCCACCCAGCCGAGGGGCGGGGCCACTTCAGTCCCCTCTGGGCCCCATTGGCTGCGGCGCCAGGGGCGGGGCGCGGCTGCCAGATGTTGGGGCGGCGGCGGCGGCGGGACCTACGGAGAGCGAGGAGCCGCGGAACCAGGCAGAGGGCGAGGGCGCCGCTGGCGGGCCTGCCCGGCCCTCTCCGCACCGTTCCCGCTGGAGTTAGCAGAGGAACTGGCAGGTCTGGCGGGAGCTCCGGCACGGGCATGCACAGCACTCGGCTTGACAGCTTCCTGGGCCAGCTCCGCTGGGAACTGGTGAGGCTTGGCAGCGGGTGTGACGCGTAAGGACACGTGTGGTGGGGTGCTCGGCTGTGGTCCGGCCCGAACAACACGCGAGTGGGGGAGTCGTCCGGAGTGCTCGTCCAAGGCGGGATGGGGGCGGGGCGGCACAGATGGCCCAGATGGCCCGCGTCGGGTTTCGGACGGTTGGGAGTTGCAGTGGGCATCAAGTAACAACCGCCCAGCTGGCCGTGCTGCCGGGGCGGCGAAGGGAGCTGGGGGGAGGACACGGGACTTCTCTTGGTGTGGAGCGGTGGGCCTTGAGGGACTAAAGAGGTGCTGGCTCTGCTGTGGATGTCCCCTATCCCAGGCTGGCCTATACCTCCTTCCTCTACCCCTCAACTGGCAAATGCTCTCTCCTGCTCTGGAAGACGCTGTGGGCTTTGGGGAGCTGAATCCCTCAAGAGGCCCGGGATGCCCCCCTCCCCCCAGCCCTGAGCAGGACCTACTTCCCGATGCAGGCCCGCAACCCTGCCTCCCGCCCTGGTGGCGGGTGCCGACTTGCCCGGCTCTGCGTGCTGCAGCCTGCCGGACTGCCACCAGGTCGACTTACGGGAGCCACACGAGCTTCGTGTGCCAGCATCCTCATGCCCTGTGCCCACTAGAGGCCTTGCTGCCCAGGCCTGTCCAGCCCTCCTAAGCCTTCTGTTGTAGAATTAGCCTGGCCAGGCAGGCAGAGATGACAAGCACTACCCCTGCGACTTCTGCCCTCTTTTCTTCCACAGCTGTGTGGCCGGGACACAGGCTCACCCCCAATGCCTGGCCCCCTTCCGCCACCCCCCAAACCTGGCCCAGTGGTCCGGCTCAGCCACCGGCTCAGGACCTCAGATGCCTTGGAAGAGGACTCTGCCTGCTGTGTGGAGGAAGAGGAGGAAGAAGGTGTGGTGACAGGAGACAGGGGTGTAGCCTTAGGGGGCCCCAAGGAGCATACCCTGGACTGGGACTCTGGCTTCTCTGAGGTGTCAGGCAGCACATGGAGAGAGGAGGAGCTACCCGTACTCCGGCATCCAGCACCCCCAGTATGGCGCCCCCATAGACAACGCCTCTCAGCCAGTGGCATCCCCCTGTCCAGCGGGACCCCTGTGGCCAGTGCACCACCTGCCCAACGACCACGGCCCAAGTCCACCCCAGATGCCTGCCTGGAGCACTGGCGGGGACTAGAAACTGAGGACTGGACAGCAGCCCTGCTGAGCAGAGGTCGCAGTCGCCAGCCCCTGGTGCTGGGAGACAATTGCTTTGCTGACTTGGTGCACAACTGGATGGAGCTGCCTGAGGCAGCAGGCGAGGGAGACGATGGGGGTGGACCTCGTGCCCGTGCTCGGCCCCCCCAGTTTCTGCTTGGCCTCTCCGAGCAGCTGCGGCGCCAGCTGGCCAGGGCCCGCCGGGCAGCCATGGCAGGAAAGCGACTGTCATGCCCACCTCGCCCGGAACCCGAACTGCCTACAGATGTATCACGCTTTGCAGCCCTCATGAGCTGCCGCAGCCGCCAACCCATCATCTGCAATGATGTTGTCAGCTACCTCTGACCCTGCCCTCCAGCCTGGGACAATAAAGGCCTTTCTCTGGACTGTCCTGGTTCTGTATGCCTGTGTCTCCAGGAGGCAACCCTAGGCCTGTGAGGCACAGCCCAGGCAGGTTAATTGAAAGAGCCATTTACTCCCTCCAGCAGTCCCTATGTGCCCTTGTCACAGCCCATATGCATGACTGCCCTGTGTTTCATCACCGATCCTCTCCACTTAATGCTTTCTTTCAATAAGTATTTATTGGGCGCCTACTGTGGGCTCAGGATGGAGAGCTTGACAGTGCTGGGTGGTAGGGCTGCTGCCTTGTTACAGCTCATAGTGCAGGGGTGGGAAGGTAGTGTCGTCCGTCTCACCCTCACAGCTGAGCTCCAGTACCAGCACCCGCTGCCCAGGCTTAGGCACCTGGCCTGTCACCTGCTGCACCAGTTCCGTCACCCTGGAGGTGTGGGGGGATGGAGTTGGGGGAGATTGGGTAGGTGAGCAGTGACAGTCAGAGAGTGACCTGGCATGGACTGGAAGGTGCTGATGAGCCATAAGGAGCCTGAGCCAGGAGCAGGAGCAGCTCAAGACAGGAAACATCTGAAACTATTTTCGGAGCTGCTGGCGGAGCAGGCAGGAGGCAGGAAGCTGCCAGTCCCCTGGGAGTGGGCTATGAAAGGGGGCTGAGCTGGGTGTGGAGGAGCTGGTGGGGCTGGCCAAGAAGGCAGCTCCTGGAGGCCCCTACTCAGGCTCTGGGCCCTCACCCCACCCCCAGCCCATTTGCTGGCTCCATTTGGCAGAAGAAAGCTTCAGGAAGGTGTGAGGGGCCCAAACGGGGTTGGGAAGAGGAAAGGCTTCATGTTCCCCACTTCCAACGTCCAGGGACAGAACAAGGCCTGGCTGAAGCCAGGTGTGGGCTCACCTGAGGGGCAGGCGCTGGGCCTGTTTTTCAGGCGACCATTTCACTGAGTAGAGCCGGGCATTGCCCTGCAGCAGCATCTTCACCCTCAGCCCGTATTGTTCCTAGAGAGAGAGAAGTCAGGTGCCAGCTGGGCCAGGTTGGGCCAGGCCTGGGGGTGGGGAGGAGCAGGGCACACCTGGAGATGGTCCAGGAGTGACTTCAGGGTCCTCTCAGGCCGCCCTGCCGGCACCTTCAGACGATCCCAACAGGTCCACTTCAGGCGATGGAACTGGGGGGCGGTCGTGGGGAGGAGTGAGAAGCTTTCCCCCCACACGCACACCCTTCCCCTATCCCAGTGACCAGCAGCCGATGGCCCCTTTCCTAGAGGAGGAGCTGGACTAGAGGCAGGAAGCAGAAGCCAGGGGGTGGGGGTGGAAGGTGGGATCTGAGCCCAGAGTCTCAGCACCCTCCCCGCCCATGCTGGGGCCAGCACAGGAAACGGGGCTGTGGGGCCCCCACACAGGGAAACAAGCCATCCATCATACAGGCTGGTCGTGTGTGGGGGGTGGAGGGGCAGTGCTTCCTGAGGAAGCGGGAGCAGAGCTGCTGAAGTCTCTGATAAAGCAGCTTATTCCTCAAATGCAAGGCTGGGAGCTGGGGACAGACGGACGGGGGTGGGGGGTGGGGATGGGGGCGGGTGGTAGGGGCATCCTGTCCCCTTGTCCTGTGCTGCCAGGGCCTTGGACTGCTCATGGGCACACAGGGGCAAGGAAGACAGTGACCACTGAGGCCCCACTGGCCCAGAGACCGCAGCAGGGACAGAGTCCACAAAGGCCTCCTCTTCCTGTCCCCTCTTTCATTCCCTATTTCAAGAGTCTTGGGGGTCTGGTGCCTGGAGCTAAGGGTAGAAGGTTGGCAGGCAGCCAGGGGCCAGGACAAGAGGCCCTGCCATCTCCCCAGAAAATATAGTGGGGTCAAGCAGAGACAAGACCAGAGGTGAGATGGGGGGGTCCTCCCCTTCCCCCCACCATGGACAAAGGCAGCTTGTATGTTAACTAGAGGCAGGGCCCCTCACAAAGGGGCTGTGTGTGCTGTTCCCTGAGGGACCCCAGGGCTACTCAGCAAAAACCCAGTGCTGGCCCGTGACCTCTACCCTCTCCGCTGATGAGGACATTCTCTCCATCCCCTGTCCTGTGCCCCAAGGAAATACCAACTACTGCAGAGCCTGGGCACATAGCCAGGGCCATTCACAGCCCTGTGCTCGAAGGAACACATGTACACGAGCCCAGGAACACCCACACGTGTACTCGCATGGACACCCATGAGAGCCCACATTGAAGAAGAACCCTGCACTCCCATCTGGCACACAGATGTGCAAGCATGCTCCTTGGATGGCCAGGCCCTGGCACACTCACACCTGTGACGCGAACACCCGCATCCCACAGGGCTGCAGACCCCACACCCAAGGCCGCAGGGGGCTCAGTCCCCTTTAACTCAGCTAGTGGGGCAGACCAGGGTCCCGATGCCATGCAGGCGCAAGTTAGGCTCTGTTTGGGGCTAAGTCCCTAGTCTCCCCTCCCCACTACCTCCCCCTCAGGGGCACTCCTGGGAAGGAGGGGGTGTGGGGGATGTCTGGCTCCGTAATGAGTTAAAGCTGCAGCTCCCCCAGACAGGGCAGCAGAGGGGTGGGGGTGGGGGTGGCTGACGGCTGCTTCCTGTGTCTGACAGGTCCCAGCCTGGCTTCACAGCAGCAAGGAGGGAGCTGAAGGGAGTCTTAAGGACTGTCCCAGTCTGGGTCTTGGTTTCTACTAGCCAGAAGCCAGACAAGGGTCTGTTTGGTTAGGTGCCGGGAAAATCCAGGCTTGGTATGGGTGGGGTGTCAAGGGCTCACCGTCTGGACAGCTGGAGCACTAGGGATCCTGCGGCTGACGTAGTTTTCAGCCAGGTGCAGATAGCTGTGGCGAAAGGCGCTGCAGGGCCGTGGTGGGCCCACCACCTTATACAGCTCCAGGCCCACCAGGCCTGCCACAGCCGCTGTAGTGGTGGCAATGGCTGGGATAATCTGACCCACGATTCGCTTGCTCTGCCAAGGATGGGAGATTTGGTTGGGCCCAGCATGTAGAGCTAGGGTTTGGCCCCCACCTCTAGGCTGGAGCCCCAAGGGGCAGGGTCACCTGGGCATGGTTGGCTGGTGGGATCCCATAGTTCTGAGCTCTCAGGCTTGCTGCTGCTTCCACAAAGTCCATATGGAAATTGCTGTCATCATCCTGCAAGGCCCAAGTCACAACAGCATTAACACTGCCCTGTGTCCCTCACCATGGCTGACCATGTGTCAGATCTTCCCATAATTCTCTTCAGTGGATACTCACATCTCCCCACTTATTAGATAAAAAAGGAGGCTGAAGGTGAACTGCTTCTGGAGTCCTGCTGGGAGGAGAACTCAGGCCAAGGGGCTCCAAAGCTACCCTCTTAGCTCTTGACCTTCCCCCAACAATCTCCCCAGCCTGGCCCTGCACCCCCAGGTGGGCTCCTACCTTCTCAAACCTCAGGGGCTGCAGGGCGGGGCCCTCACTCCAGACTTGCAGGGCTTCACGCAGTTCCTGTACCTGCTCAGGGCCTGTCAGGGGAAGGGGTATTGGGACAGTCCTTAGCCCCATTGTCTGCACTCCTCCTGGATCCTAGGGCCTCTTCTTCGTCTCTGCCAAGCCTACAGTCTCTACCACTTTCAGGAAGATCTCTGATGCTATAATCTCCTCCCCAGCAACCCCAGCCCATCGCCTCCCTGTGTGTATGTGTGTGTGCACGTGCGTGTGTGTGTGTGTGTGTGTGTGTGTCTGCACACACTTGCATATCCATGTGACTCTGTCCTCACCTGGGGGTCATAGCTAAGTGCTCCCCAAGGCCCAATGGTTTGTGCTTTTTTTGCTGAAAATCTGCCAAGGAAACGGTGGGGATGGCAGCAGGGAGGGGGCCTACTGAGGGACCAGAGGATGAGAGAGAAGCACAGTCAGAGGGCCTGAGAGGTAAAGAGTTCACTGCAAGGCCCCCAGGCCCCCTCCCTCTTCCTTCTATAGCACAGGCTGAGGGCAGGGTCAGGCTTTGGGTGGCAAAATGGCGGGGGGCAGGGCCAGGGACCTCACCAAGCTCAGCAGAAGCCAGGTGCTGGGGGCCAGTCAGTGGCAGCAACTTCAGCATTTCCCTGAGTGCAGGCTTGTCCTGTGAGCCAGGCAGCCCATGCATCTGGGCATACAGGTTAGCCGCTGCCAGCACGTAGAGGAGGTGCATGTCCTGCAGCCAGAGCAAAAGCCAGGGGCAGATTCATGGGTGTGAGCAAGCATGCATGGGTGTGCGGGACAGGGGGCACTGCACATTTGTGGATCTGTTTGAATGCCTGCCTCTGTCTCTCAGCATCTATGCATCTCTGCAGAATGCAGAGGTGCCCACTTCTGCTCTCAGGGGCCACATTCCCATCTCAGGGCTCCCAAGAAATCCCACTTACTTGATTGGCGTCAAACTTCAAGGGCTGGGGACATAGTTTGGGAGCCGACCAAAAACGTGCTCCATCCTTAAGCACCTAGGAAAATGGAGGCTGCTGGGCTTAGTCTGGTCCCCCTGAGCCCTCAGCCTCCTGACCCCTATCCACCTACTTTATCAGGTGGGAAGAGCCTGAGAAGCTGCTTGATGCCATAATGGAAGCACAGTTGCCATTGGCCAAAGGCCCACACCACACAGTCTTGCCAGGTCTGTGGACGCTGTCTCAGGACACCCAGCACCACCTGCAGCAGGGTCAGCAACTGTGGCCCATCTGTGTCTACCGGAGGAGTAGGTGCCCTGCAAAGAGGATAGGAAGCTTGAGGCTAAGCCCTGCAGACACCGGTGCTACAGGCCATGGACTCCCATCCACCCTGTTGGTGGCCTTACCGCTGGTGGCAGTTGATGGTCTCAGCAGACAGACGGAAGAGCCCCTCAAACGCATCCCGGGCCCACTGTTGGGGAGGGAGAAACCATAAAGTGTCAGGTGGGGAACAGGTCTGCAACTAAGGACTGAGGAGGGGGTATAGGTATCTCTGGGGTGCTTCCTACCTGCAAGGTGTGCTCAACTGTGGTGGGGAAGTACCGCACGGTGCAGACAGGGTAGGGGGCATCCTCAGAATCCAAGGTGGGGCCTTCGTAGGCCTCAGTCACATGCGGTATGAATACTGAAGCACTGCCCAGGGTGCCCTGGGTGCCCGCCTCCAACAGTGGCTTCAGATAGTGGATGCAGCGAGTAGACACATAGTGCCCTGACAAAGGGGCAGAGAATCAGAAGTAGGCCTGGTATGGCCTTGGGCAAGGGGCTGAGTTCCAAGGTCAAGCACTCACGGGCCTGGAAACTGTCCAGGGCGGCAACCACACCGTCCACACGGGAGAAGAAGTCATCCCCGTAGATGTGCTCTGTGGTGGGATCCAGAGGGGAGGTGAGCGGGACTACCTGCACATCTGAGTTGAGGCGGTGAGCAGCCTCTGCAGCCACTTCTGCCTTGGGCCTCTGAGAAGAAAGCAGGAAGATGCTGGAGGGCAGGGGGCATTGTAGGAGGACAGTCGGGGACACGGGGTGTGGGGACTCACACCAACGTCCTGAAGCCTGAAGAGGAACTGACGGCTGAGGTTGGAGCGCTCAACGTGGTCCATGTCGGCAACAGTCACGCCCCCGCTGCTCGCGGCCCCCAGGCCCATTAGGGAGAAGCCTTTGAGCAGCTCGCAGCCGATAGCACCAGCACCCACCTGTCAGCAGGAGCAGCCTTAGCCAGAGGGTTTGGCTTGGCCCTACCAGACACCCCCAGCCTCACTTCACAGCTCACCAGGAGATAGTGCTGGCAGCTCAGCTTCTCCTGAAAACCAGCCCCAAACACTGCGATTTGCCCATCGTAGCGACAGCCTCTCTAAGGGACACAGACACAGGTTGGTGTGGGCCAGTGGCCTGCGCTGCATGTCCCTCTCACACTGAGTTTTCCAGGTCAGGACCTCGAGACCAGTCCGCCTGTTTCTCCTCTAGCCCTGAGTTTGGATAAGGTGTCCACCCCTACCCCAGATTCTCACCGGTGAGCAGTCCTCAGGTTTGGGAAGGGGCTCCCCATCTTCTGGGAGGCAATCAAGGGCATCCAAGTACAGCCACTGGTCCAGGGGCATGAACTTCCTGGACACAGCCTAAAGGCCAACACTTTAGTCCAGGGACTCCTGCCACCTGCCAACCCCTCAGATCTGGGCTGGGGGCCGCACCTAGACTGGTGAAGCCCCCAGGGCCGCTATCTGGTGTTGGGTACCCTCTGGCCTCCACACCCCTCCCAGCCACACCCTGTCTGTGCCTGTGCCCACCTTCAGCACTTCCTGGGCGGCCACTGCGCCCACCAGGGCTGCCATGGGACTTAAGCCACCAGCACTACTCAGGGCGACTGTCCGCACGAGAGCCTCATCCAGTGGCTCTTCCAATGGCATTCCATCTGTCCTCCTCAGTGGTTTCAGGGCCCGGGCCAGGTCCACCACCTTATCTGCATCAACCTGTGGGCACAGCAGCCCCAGCCTAAGCTCTACTCCCCACTCAAATCCTTCAGGCAGCCACCCATCCTGTTCCACAGAAAAGGAAACTAAAGCCTGAGTGTGGCGTACACAGGGGCCCGGCCACCAGACTGTGCAGCCCCATCAGAGGACTCCTGGGGCCAGACGACCGTCTTGGAGGCTTCACCAACATGGGTGCAGCTTCCAGCCTGCATCTGAGGGGTTAGGAGCTAGCAGGGGTCCCAGGCTTTGTGCCTGACACTTTCAGGGCCCCAGCCTCTGGTCTGGAGATAGTGTTTATTGTCTCCACTATATGCGTGGGAAACTGCCTCTGGGATTCCAACTTGGATTTGTGAGACAGTCCTTGTTGCCTCCTGGCAGCTGAGACTCCAATAAGACAGAGGCTGGGGGGAGGGGCAACAGGGTCACTCACAGGATCCCAGGGCTTGGGTGGGCGGCCGCTGAGGTGCTGGAACGTGTGCAGTGCACGGAAGGCTTGATGCAGGCTGTGGGCACGGTGAACTTCCCGGGTCACCACACAAGGCTGGAGCAGGGCTGCATCGAGGGGCTTCTGTGGGGGGCACTAGGCTCAGGGACAGGTCCAGAACAAGGGGACCTCTCAAGGCTCCTAAGCCCCCCACCTCAGATGCACTTGCACTCACATGGCTCACAGTCTTGGGTCTCTTGACCTCAGTGACAAGCCCGCCACGCAAGTAACAGGAGAAAGCTGTTGTGTCCCCAATCTCCAAGGTCCCATCCTCTGGGGGAGATCCAGTGAGTTAGTGTGACCTCTGCAACCTGAGGAGGTCCCCACACCCCCTCCTCTCTCACACCTCTGTCCTCAACCTTGCCCCACCCTGAGGAAGGCGCAGGGAGAACCTATCCCCAAGAACCAGCCTATGTCTGCCTCCAGTGGCGCTGAGCCTGGCTTGGAGTGGGGTTGGCTCACCCTGCATGCGGATAGGCCGGGGAGCACAGCCATTGAGCTCAATCATGCCCTCAATGCCGGAGAAAGTCACCAAATCCACATCATGGAAGTCTTGGGTATCATCCTTTTCTCTCAGAGTGAGAATGCCGGGGGAGCCCTGGATAAGAGGTGGCATGGCTCAGGGTGCCCGTACCTATATTCCACAGGCTCTGGCAGCCTCTCCTTAGCCCACACCTTAGCGCCCACCTGGGAGATGTGCTGGATGGCAGCTGTCAGAGGTTCTGCCTCTGTAGGGTCCTCCACAGTGAAGTTCTCCCCAAAATCACAGAACAGCTGCCTGTGGTGGGGCGGTAGGGGCCACTGAGATGGCTCCATGGTTAACCACTGTGATTGTGGTAAGGGTGGGAGACACTAGGGCAAGCCCAGAGGGCCAGAATCAGGCTTGGGAACTGGAGTCTGAGGTTGATACAGGAGCAAGTCTGGAGGCTGGGGTAGAAGCAGGGGGATGAGACTTGAGGCCAGAATCAGGAAGGGATGCTGCAATAGGCCTAGGGCTGGGTGCAGGGGCACTTTTGCAAGCCTAGAACGACAGACAGCGCTGGGACCAGTTGTTGTCTGTGATGTGGCAGGCTAGGCAGGCAGTCTCACTCACCCCACGAGGCCCCGAGTGTCAGCCACCAGAAAGCAGACTCCGTGCTTATGGCATAAGGTGCCCACCTTCAGCTGCTCCTCTAGGTCCGAGGCGGTCAGCACCACCACCTAGGTGGAACTTATGATCAGCAGGGTGAGCCCACCCTGCAGCTACAGGCTGGAGGAGGGGACTGAGATGGCCTGGAGAGTGGGGCTGGGAAGGAACCTGGAAGTCCAGCAGCAGGTCCTCGGTAATGTCGCCTGTGTGGACGCAGACCTGGACAGCTCCGTTGAGCTTGGCCACACGTTCTTGAGATGCCTCAGCCCTGCTCTTTCCCAAGTCTTGCTCTGAGAGGAAAAACTAGAGAGAGACCCAGTTCAACTTGAGCAAGGAGATAGCCCTCGGGCCCTACCCCCACCCTGGTCTGGGAACCCACGGCCCCCCAGGATCCTCACCTGGGCAGCCAGGTCAGACCAGCAGGTGGGGTGGGGATCATGCAGAGTGAGGCTGCCCACACCCATCAGGACCAGGTTTTTGGCCACCTCAGCCCCCAGACCCTGAAGACCTGAGAGCAGGACCTTAGCCCCCTGAAGCCTCTGCATGGCCGGCAAACCCAGCACATACCTGTGAATGGGAAGTAAGAGGGTAGGCAATTGGAGATCAGAGGTCAGAAGACCACCCCACACCCCTCCCCACCTTGGGTCTCACAGCTGCCGTGAATACAGCTCCTCATCCAGCAACTTGGAGGTCTCCAGGACATCCATCCTGAGGTGTGGGGCTGGACAATAGGCTGCAGTGCTTATAGATGGGGTCTCTGTGGGAGGCGGTGGCAGCAGAGGACAGTGCCCAGCCGTGGCTAGTGCAAACAGGCACTGAGACTAAGGGAGTGAAGGACGCTGCTAGTCACAGCTTCCTGGTTCCTCTGTCATTTCAGGAAAAACAAAAGTGAAAGTGAAAAGTGAAACTGGACTCTGATCTGGTTCCTGGTCTTGCTTCCAGCCCGTGCTGGACTGCTTAGCCTGGCAAAGATGAGTTCTGGAAGGCCTAGAGCACAGGCAAGGTGGGAGAGCCGGAAGGGGGCTGTCCCCTTCCTTGGGAGGGACCCATGTGGGCTGGATGCAATGGTCTCCTGTGACTCCCTTGATGTCCCAAACCTCAGGCCCCTGTCTCCCTCAGGTGCCCCTGCCTGAATGGGCTTCCTGCCCATAGAGCGCTGATGGCAGCTCCCTTGTCCTGAGGACTCGCCTGGCCTGCTGTCCACCTCACAGAGGCTTAGAGACCCTAGAGATCGGAGCCAGTCCCATCCCAAAGGCTGTGGGAGCATATGAGGTTATACTGTCCCACCCTCAGGGCCCAAACCATACAGCTGGGTGGAGCCTGGCATCTTTGGGAGGGCCTGCTGGGCCCTGAGCTATCTCCTTAGAGAATAAGGATTTCTCCCTGCCCACAGCTGCCAAACCAGGACAGAGAGCAGAAGGGCAGTCCTAGGAGGCCAGTCAGGGATGAGGCCAAGGACTCAAAGAGGGAGGTCAGCCTCGAGTTTCAACCTGAGCGTGGGAGGCATGGGGCTGCCATGATCATTTGTATCCTTATTTTTCCTTTACACTTTCATTTTAAAATAATTATAGACTCAGGAAGTTGAAAAAATAGCACAGTGAGCTATTGGAGGGCGGCGGCAGAGTCTGTAAAGCCACCCCAGGAGCCAGAGCTGTTGTATTCCCCTGTTCTTCTTCCCATTGTAACCAATAAAGGCCGTTGGTACTGCCAAAAACAAAAAGTAAGTACAGACAGGTCCTATGTAACCTCCATCCTCAGATGTGTCATTTTGCCCTCTTAAGAACTTGGGACCTTTGAGGTAACCAGTTAGCTCAGTTGGTTAGAGCGTGGGGCTTATAACACCAAGGTTGCTGGTTCGATCCCCACATGGGTCACTGTGAGCTGCACCCTCCCTAAAAGTCTCAACTGTGCCATTGTAGCATGAAAGCGATGTGTAACCACTGACCATGGCTGTTCCCCAATGAAAATTAAAAAAAAAAAAAAGAACTTGGGGCCAGTTCTTTGGAGGATGGCTCCCCCACAAAACTCCACAATAACCAAACCAGGTGATGTCATAGTTCTTTTTCAAAATTGGGGTAAAATTCATATAACATTAAAATAACCTAAGTGAGGCATTTAGTGTATTCACAGTGTTGTGCAAGCACCAACTCTTTCTAGTTTCAAAACTTTTTATAACCCACTGAAGAGCATCCTCACCACATTAAATCATTACCCATCCCCCACCCCAACCCCCTGGCAAGCACTTACATTCTCTCTGTCTCTTGTGATTTGCCTATTCTGGGAATTTCTTATAAAAGGAACCACAAAGCGTGACCTTTAGTATCTGCTTTCTTTCACTTAGCATAATGTTTCTGAGGTTCATCTAAATTGTAGTATGGACCCAACTGGCCCTGCCCCACTCCCTCCTGTGTTCCCACCGCCCCTTCCCATTGTGTCTTGCCCAGATCTCACCCTCATCCCTGCTTCCTAAACCCGGCATGTCTTAGTCTCACCATCCCTTCCTCCACTAGCACCCTACCTCCAGCTCTTCAAATAAAAATAAATAAATAAATAAATAAATTGTAGTATGTATCAGTACTTCCTTTTCCTGCCTGAATGATAGTCCATTGTAAGCATGTCACAATTTGTTTATGCAGTCACCTGTTCATGGACATTTGAGTTGTTTCCACCTTTTGGATATTAAGAATAGTGCTGCTGTAGAGCGCACTCGAGTGCGAGCTCTGAGCAACAGCGGTTCGAGTC